GCGCATTTTTTCTACATAAAGATATGAGAGGAAATAGTCAAGTTGCCTGTTGAAGAATTCTTAACTTTGTCGGATGGGGTACTTAAGGCGGGGGTGTGGGGTAGGGAAGATTAGTGTCCTAACTGAAAAGAAGATGTTTTTCATTCGCCTAAATACTTTTAGATAAAAGTAGATCTTAGATTAAATAAGATGAACCACAAAACCCCCGAACCAAGATCTTGTTTGCATAGTGGATCGAAAAAGAACTACTAAGCAACACTTAAAAACCAAATCAATAAGAAGTTGACCTGTTATTGCTTGCGCATGCTTAAAACTTATGGTATGTTCAGAAAACAAACCAAACAAAACAAAACCAAAATTCAAATTGTTAAAAATTTAGAGGAATACCTTAGATATACAAGATTCATTCTAAGAATGACGTGTTAAAGATTTCAACTTATAAATAATGCTGTTTACCTCTCGAGTTCGTCCACTTCAGAATTGCTCACGATTTCCTGCTTAGAAATCAAATGATTTATGAATCACATTTCTGGCAAACTTTCCAGAATTTGTTGTAAATTGTCAGCCACCTTACCATCTCCTGTCGGTCACGTGATCGTCTATCGTGTTCTTCCAGCTCCCTGAAAACAATATTAAAAACGACATATCACTCTCACTTTTGTTAAAAGGACAAATCACCCTATTTTTTGTTATCAACGCCTAAAGCCTCTAATCTTCAAGAAATGTCGCAAGTGGAAGTTCATTATAGGGATCTAACGCGAAAGCGATGACAGATTCTTGTACATTTCAGTTGTTCAACAAAACCTCTTTTTTGTAAATTTTCAGCCACCTTACCATCTCCTGTCGGTCACGTGATCGTCTAAAGCCTCTAATCTTCAAGAAATGTCGCAAGTGGAAGTTCATTATAGGGATCTAACGCGAAAGCGATGACAGATTCTTATACATTTCAGTTGTTCAACAAAACCTCTTTTTTGTCAACGATTCTGATTGAAAGATAGCTCTGCAGAGTAACAACTATCATCGGCACCGGGAAACTGAGAAAATCGTACAAACCAGCAAATTTTGCAAGTTGTATTCCCCTTTCTTAACCGAAAACTACTGCACTGAAAACTTGTATCTGCTAATATCCAAATAACTACATACCAACCCCTCCCCTAGCCCAACAACAACAGTCAACTAGTAACAAGTTGGTGTTAGTGTTGGGTTAGGGGAGGGGTAGGTGCGCATTTGGTCAGACACTCACACTGACCCGAAAATTCAATTAAACAATACGAGGTTGAATAGCATGTTTTTAAGTCTTGCCTCGTGTAGCGTTCGATCGTTATCCTTCTCTAACTTTTTCAGCTCATCCTGTCCACAGAGAAAAGATTTAGTGAGAAATGAATAAGGAACATTGCGAAGTCAACTTGTCGAAGTGTTTTGACGAAAGCATTGTCATAATAATTTAAATAGCAACCAAAAGCCAATAGGACCGGATCCAGTCATTTTTGACATGGGGTCTAAAATGTTTTTCGACCAACCTATGTCCCTACCCAGCCTTCCCTCGTGGTTAAAGATAAATAACAAAAAGAAACGAAGAAAAAGAACGTAAAAGCAATATATGATCTTGTCGTTGTAAGAATATTGATATCAGACAAGAAGTGAAAAAACCCACAGGAGTGGGAAGGGGGAATCTGGACCCGAAGGCGCCCGGACCCCCTGACCCCCCTGACCCCCCTGAACCACGGACCCTCCCTTTGCTTCGTGCCACTGAAGAAAACAACCCTCCTAGACTCGCGAGATCTACGGATAGTAAGTAAGTAAGTAAAACCTTTATTCAAGCGATAAATATTGAAGCTATGCAGCTTGTGGGGTCGCGTATAAGTAGATAAATAAAAAGATACATAAACAATAGTTGTAATATAATATAAAATAAGACTTATGTGTAAACGTAATATAATGCTTAGATTAATGATTGATAGTATTATCTAGTTAATAAAATTATAGACCTAAAAATACTTCTTTTAGGGAGGAGCTATCTTTTACAGAATAAGTTAGAAAAGTCAATGTCCCTGACCAAAGGAAGCTTTATAATCACCCTGGAGAAACTTTTCACACTATGCGCGTTACGACACTCGATTGGCAGATAATTCCACAAAACTGAACCTCTACAAGATATGGAATTCTTTTTGATATTCGATTTGAAAGGTGGGATTTCCAACTTAAGACTGTTCCTTAAATTATACGAGGTTTGCGATTTCCCAATATGTGCTGTCATACAGGATGGTAAATCATTGTGGTACAGCGTGAACCAAGATCTTGTTTGCATAGTGGATCGAAAAGGAACTACTAAGCAACACTTAAAAACCAAATCAATAAGAAGTTCACCTGTTGTTGCTTGCGCATGCTTAAAACTTATGGTGTGTTCAGAAAAAAAAACCAAAACAAAACTAAACAAAACCAAAATTCAAATTGTTAAAAATTTAGAGGAATACCTTAGATATACAAGATTCATTCTAAGAATGGCGTGTTAAAGTTTTCAACTATAAGTAATGCTGTTTACCTCTCGAGTTCCTCCACATCAGAATTGCTCACGATTTCCTGCTTAGAAATCAAAGGATTTATGAATCACATATCTGGCAAACTTTACAGAATTTGTTGTAAATTTTGTGCCACCTTACCAGCTCCTGTCGGTCACGTGATCGTCTATCGTGTTCTTCCAGCTCCCTGAAAACGATATTAAAAACGACAGATCACTCTCACTTTTGTTAAAACAATAAATCACCCTAACGTTTGTTATCAACGCCTAAAGCCTCTAATCTTCAAGAAATGTCGCAAGTGGAAGATCATTGTAGAGCTCTAATGCGAAAGCGATGACAGATTCTTATACATTTCAGTTGTTCAACAAAAAAGSTTTTTTTGTCAACGATTCTGATTGGAAAGATAGGTCTGCAGAATAACAACTATCATCGGCACCGGGAAACCGAGAAAATCGTACAAACCAGCAGATTTTGCAAGTTATATTCTACTTTCATAACCGAAAACTACTGCACTGAAAACTTGTATCAATGCTAATATCAAAATAACTGCATACCGACCCCTCCCATAGCCCAACAACAACAATCAAATAGTAACAAGTTGGTGCTAGCGTTGGGTTAGGGGAGGGGGAGGGGGGAGGTGCGCATTTGGTCAGATACTCACACTGACCCGAAAATTCAATTAAACAATACGAGGTTGAATAGCATGTTTTTAAGTCTTGCCTCGTGTAGCGTTCGTTATCCTTCTCTAACTTTTGCAGCTCATCCTGTCCACAGATAAAAGATTTAGTGAGACATCAATAAGGAACATTGCGAAGTCAACTTGTCGAAGTGTTTTGACGAA